TATTTGTTACTTCAAGGCTGAACTATTGTAATTCTTTACTATCAGGAAGTCCACAAACTGTAGTTAAAAGTCTTCAGCTAATCCAAAATGCTGCAGCCAGAGTTCTGATGAAAATTAAAAAGAGAGATCATATCTCTCCTATCCTGGCTTCTTGTAATGGTTTCTGCACTGATTCTGGCCCAGGCGCGCTGGAAGCTGTTTCAAGCAAGGGGGGCTGATGGCTGGGTTGGAAAAAACATGACGTCATTATGTTGAGGGCTGTGGCTGAAGTTTTTAACATAATATTGTAGGCCTACATTTGTCGCCATAAACTGCCATTTAAAATGCATCGGAACAAAGCATGAACATTTTAAACTTTATTTCTTCTCTTTTAATCATTCAAAACAAACAGCTCCCAATCAACAGGATCAGGAATACTTGAATAAAACATGGCCTAAATATCGCCTAAACTGAGCATTGAACATCTTGAAAGTCCATTCGACTATGGATATGGGGAATGATTTCATATCTGAAACAAAAAACACAAAAAAAACTAATTTCATATTTTATCACTAAATAGCTTAATACAGACATAATATTTAGTGATATGCAGCCTTATTCTAGCGTAGACTTCTTCAGCCACAGGACTACGACGAATAGGCACATAAATAACGCTAAATGCAGCAGTATAGGGGAATTAAAACCATTTATTACCTCGAAATAGTCAGAAATACGTTTCTGCTGCCTATTGCTAGCCAAGCCATGAATGTGAGGTGGCGGAAGCTTCCGGGGGAGTAGCCTAGTTTTTTATGAAATATTAAAATAATGAATCATTTGTTTATATCTTATATACAGCCCATCATTTTAATCCCATATCAAACACAGTCTTTTAAAAAATAAATACATAAATAATTTCATGTTTTGAAGTACAATATTATGTTACTCCACAGCCCCCCACCATGGGGGGCTGATGCTATGACGAGGGAGGCTGCAGCCCCCGCAGCACCCCCCTTCCCGTGCCACTGTTCTGGCCTGATCACTCAGTCCACACACCTGCTCTGCTCCACTCATCTGCAATCAGCTCTGACTGGAGTCACCTGTTTCCAGCACTTTAAAAACCCCATCAGATCTGTCCTCTGTGCCAGATTATCTCGAGCCAACCCGCTACGAATAGTCCAGCATCAAAAGAGAACCTGACCGCCTATCTGTTTCTGACCCGATCTGCCTCCTGACTCCGAGCCTGCCTGAACCCTGTTTGATTCTGCCTGCCTGCTTCCCTCTCTCTGGATCTCTGACTCTGAAAAGCTCCGCCTAACTGCCTGCCTCTCCGTCCTGGATCTGCCCGCCTGTCTTCCTGCAGCCTGTTTGCCCACACAGATTCAGCCCCGCTTTCAGATTAACCCTCTCAATAAATCAATCAAAACGTCACTAACCTGTCTGGGTTTATTTGGATCCAGTCTCTGTCTCCTTACACTTCTCTTCATTGGCTTCCTGTTAAATCCAGAGTAGAATTTAAAATCCTCCTTCTCACATAAAAAGCCTTAAATAACCAAGCTCCATCTTATATCAGAGATCTGATTGTTCCTTATGTTCCTAACAGAGCACTTTACTCTCAATCTGCAGGTTTACTAGTGGTTCCTAGAATTTCTAAAAGCAGAATGGGAGGCAGATCTTTTAGTTATCAGGCTCCTCTCTTGTGGAACCAACTACCAGTTTTGGTCAATGAGGCAGACACTCTGTCTACTTTTACGACAAGGCTTAAAACTTTGATAAAACATTTTGATAAAGCTTATAGTTAGAGTGACTCAGGTTATCCTGAGCTATTTCTATGGTTATGCTGCTATAGGGTTAGTCTTCTGGAGGACATAGGGACCCCTTTTTCATCATTCTGCTTCATTCTGTCTCTATTGTTCCAATCTGCAGAATCTATTAGTTCAACGCCTCTAACGTTCTGCTCTCTCTGCCTTTTCTCATAGTAATGTCGCCTCGTCTGTTTCTGTTTGACTCTGACACTGTCCTTGACAGAAATATCAGCTGTGCTGCTGCCATCAACACCTTTGTTTATAGATGTTGGAGATGGGCCTGTTTTTCAGCGTAGTCCTTTTTCTCTGACAGTGACTGGCTGGATGTGCTCTCTTCATCCTCTGACATGGGAGCTGGCTCGGAGCTCGTCTGCCTGGCTGTGTGTTTCCTGAACAGGGCCACGCCTTTTACAGCTGCTTTTTGTATCTCTTCTTCTGTCTCCTTGAACCCCAGTCGGCCTCGGCAGATGGCCGCTCACACTCAGCCTGGTTTTGCTGGAGGTTTCTTCCTGTTAAAAGGGAATTTTTTTCTCTCCACTGTCGCTACAAGCATGCTTAGTGTGAGGGATTGCTTTTAAGTCAATGAGTCGATGCAATCAACTGGTTTTCCTCAGATAGAGAACTTTGAATCAATTGTATGTATGATCTGTTGAACTGTAAAGTGCCTTGAGATAAAATGTGTTATTAATTGGTGCTATATAAATAAACTGAATTGAATTGATAGTTAGATATATGCCTATACAATTGATATTAAATAAATTTGCATTGATACTTTAAAGAAATATTTGATACATTTTGCTTTATTTTATAACAGCACTTAACCTACAGAAATAAAATGCAGATGATGGAGCGTTACCCTTAGCTTACCTCCACGTCTTTTACAATCATTAGGTCCGCCATGGCTAATACTAAAGGCACTATTGCACACAGAGCACCTAGCCACAGTGTCATCATTCTTAGCCTCACCAGACATGGATATACTTTCATATATTCTGCTGTAAAATGAGTCTTATATTTTCTTTTTTTATTCGAGGATTCAGCCTCTCCCATTTCACAGGATGCACAGCTTTGAGAGGTAAGTAGGTGACTGTCGGATAGTAACCCAAAAATTATAGGCTTATTTTTCTGACTAATCCAATCAGCGTGCTCTCTGACAATCAGTCGCGGAGGTCCTGGAACTTCCGGGAGACTTGGGATGTCTGCAACAGTCAAACATGATGAAGGTGCTGGGATATTCTGAAGTTACTTTCCGGTTCTAGGAACTGGGTTTAAGAGCTTTTATTGATAGAAACCAAATTCTGCTCTTGACCATGCATGTCCATCCCTTAGTGACCTTAAGCTCAAGCGCACTTAGCTTGTGCAAGAGGATACAGATAAAAAAATTAAAAAACAATAAACTGATCTCCTTGGCAGCCATCAAATGTTCCAAAAGCTTGTTGACCACCTTTTCATTCAGGTCTTAAACATGATGCAGAGGGGGCCCTGGCTAGCCTGCTCTAAAACAAAAATAAGTTAAGTTGGCTTGTCTACCTGTTCTGAGATGTTTTGGCCTAACTTTATAAAGCTATCCATGTTTAAAGACCCTCCAATAGCTGATAAAGCCATTTTGCAGTTGGTAGAGTTGATAAAAAAAATCCGGGATAAAAATTATTTGTAGTATTTATTAGGTTAGATTGCAATCTTTTTTTAATAGACCTAAGTTGGCTTGAATATATATATATATATATATATATATATATATATATATATATATATATATATATATATATATATATATATATATATATATATATATATATATATATATATATATATATATATATATATATATATTTGTATGCAAAGACTTACTATGTAGAAAAATCCATTCATGATAACTCTAGTTATCTTTGTTTGATATTAAATTCTGTATGACAATCTGAAACATTCTTGCGGTACAAAAAGCAAAAAATATTCAAATGTGTAAAGGCAAAATGCTTTTTTTATGGCATGGTAGTAAGTTATGTGTTGTAAATAACTTTGAATTAAGTCAAATTACTACATTTCTTTATCAGCATCAGCTTTGCAAAAGCCTGTTATGCTGTTTATTTGATTCAGGTGAATTAGAGAAGGACTGCCTAAAAAAACTGAAGGACGGTAGCTCTTAAAGACCGGAGTTGGCAGCTCTGATCCAGTGCATCTGTGGGTTTACTCCTGATACCTGCTTCCTCCTAAATTCAAATTATTCACATTATATCAATTGGCAGCTTTAAATAGTTTGTTGGTCTGCAAGATTTCATATCCCTGAGTCGGTTCTGTCCCTGCCCAATTGACTGTCAGGATTTGCATCAGTCCCTTTATGGACTTAGCCAAAAAACACTGAGCATAGTGACTACAGGGGGTTAAATTTCTTTAAATTTAACCGAGGATCTTTTTATTTATAACACATTAAGCATTACAGAAATATAAAATAAAAGATACATTACTAGGAAAGGTAAATGTAAAAGAACATATGGATAATATGTAATGGAGGCAGCAGTCACAATTCTTCAAGCAATTGAACCAGTGGTGGACATAGAGACTCCATATTTGACTGAGTTATTGTATCGAGACACGCAGATGGCAGTGGCGACCAAAAAATCTCTTTCCAAGTTGTCGACAAAATATTTTAAAATCCTCCTGATCTCCATTTCATTTTCTGGTTGAATCCGTTGAACAACCTGTAAGCAGGTACATTTATATGTTAAAGAAATGTATCAGTGTGTTTAATTTTGTATTTATATTTGAGTGTCTATGCCCAGTGGAAAATTTAGCAAAATAGTTTAAAAGGTATTGACGGGCTTTTATTTATCATAGATGTCAGACAATTGTATATCACGTGTGAAAGTATGCTGTAAGAACAATGTTAATCAAGTTCTACTTGAAGACTGATTTAGGTTCAAATACTTCTGTTGTAGATTATAACATATGCATCAAAGATTTAAGGTATTTGCTAAATTGAATTGTTTATTTTTAAGTTTGAGACACTAAATCCTCACAGATTTTTGAAAAGATTATGTGTTCATAGAAATTTCAGTTGCACAACTGAAAAGCTGAAGTTCACATGCTGATTCTATCAGGAGAGATCACTACAGAATTTATCAGACCAACTAAAACCAACTAATCACTAACTCTCTAACAAGGGTGACTTTGCAATTTACCAAACACGCCACTAGGTGGTGGTAATGAAATATAGTGTGACTTCCTGACAGAACTGGTTTAGAAACATCACTGCGCATGCGCGTACTGAGCGGAAGTTGTATGAGTGCTGAGCGGAAGCTGTAACGTCCTTTCTGCTCCCGGACCGCCATCATGGTGAGCTCGCAATGAGAGTCTCAGTATTATTAACCCAAATTCCATTTTATTTAGCGGTTGTTATGTAACATAAAATGTTTACACGTGTGACTAAGATGCTTAAAAACGTATAATTGACGCGTTTCATGAAGTACCTTCGGTCTATGAAGGGTTTTGTTACCTTTTTGAAGCGACCGCCACACAACGTGGTCTATCAGGCGGTGTAGGCCCAAACCTCACCGGTGACCGAATCTAGTACTCTATTGTGTGTCCTGAACATATCTTTTTATTTTAATCACTTCGGAATTGTGTATAAAGCGAAAACATGGCGGTAGACGTGATGTGAATTATATATTTAGTCCAAAGAACTAAGGATTATTCAATTCGTGACTCCAGACACCCATCGCTTCAGGGCTTTACTCTATAGCAAAGGGAAAATCCTGAATCTTTCATGAACCTGTCCCAGCAGATGCTGACATAAGGATTCACTAAGTTTTTTATTAAATGTGACTTTGAAAAACCAACAGTAAAAAAAGTGTTTAGATAAACAGCCACGTTAATGGGAGGTCTTAACTTTCTCGCCTTCATGATTAACAACTGGCTTAAAAATCACCTCAAATTCTCTCTATTTGGAATTGTATTCCTCCTGTATTTTCTGCGCTAAGTGGTCTTAAGTTTGTTGAAGCTTATTGCGTACTTATAGTTTTGATCAGATTATTTTTACTTGTTTATTTACGTTCAATAGCCCCTTTTGCCTGGTCTTGCATTTTTATTTAAGGTAAACCGTTTTGAACAACAGAGATATGAGTTGTAAGAACAAATCTATTTTATCAACTAGTAAAGAAATCCGATTACGTCACTTAAGTCAACTTTCTCATGAATTGGGAATGCAGTTTATTTTTTAAGATGTGTCGTTTTTAAGATTTCTGTGACACCAAAACGATTTGCTGTTGGCTCTGATGCTGTACAAATGGGTGTAATATTTATCTAAAAATGCTTTTCTGTTCCTAATGTATCTTTAGCCCGGTCTGGTTTGGTCTGAGCAGTATGCTGGACCAAAACATGGTTCAACCAGTAAAATTGTTTGAGAGAATATAAAAAGGACAAGGATAGCACCTTTACTTGTAACAATAATACTGTCAGAAACTTTCTCATATGGTTTGGTCTTGCAAACACACTATGTATATATGGAAAGGTATTAGTCACTTAATTTTGGAAAATATTTGACAATTTGAACTTAACCTTATTTTTCATTTAGTGTGTGCATTTGTGTTGGATACCTATTAATTTTAGGCTTCGTTGCTGTATTAAACTGACAAGCAAGTTGAAACAGGCTTAGTGATGTCAGCTATGCTGCACAGTGCATCGTACCTCCGTCCTTCACTTTGTCTATACTCTAGATCCATAAAGATTCTCAGTTCATTGTGGCATTGCACATTTAACTGTTAGCATATACCTGGACTCTGCTTAAAATCAGCCAATCTGTCTTTGTTTTTTTTCTTGATCCAGTTACATCTTCTGTGTCTTTCAGGTGTTTAAGCGCTTCGTTGAGATCGGCCGTGTTGCCTACATCTCTTTCGGACCCCATGCTGGCAAGCTGGTGGCCATTATCGATGTTATTGACCAGAACAGGGTAGGTCAGAAGTTCACTCTGGATATCAGACTTAAGATACTTTGGATACTTTAACTGAGCTGATCTGACCTGCACTTCTCAGGCGCTTGTTGATGGTCCCTGCACTGGAGTAAAGAGGCAGGCCATGCCATTCAAGTGCATGCAGCTCACAGACTACGTCATCAAAGTACCTCACAGGTAAGTAAAAACCTTTCATGTTGTATTCATTATTAAATGTATATAACAGTTAAAATATGTCCTGTTTTCTGTATCTTCCATGTTTCACCATTTTCTTATTGTTACTTGCTATATGTTAGTGCAAATGTTAAGTGCTTGTTGGTTATAGCAGCAACATTTGTGTAGCATTTAACTAGATCTGTTTTGTTTTGCATGGATGAATAGTTGTAATGCTAAAAGATAATAGTCACATCTTATGTGTCCACTGTTAAAATCATGCAACTTAACTTTTTAATAACTGGCTGTATCAAATTTTTCTCTTTCTGTCACCTTTAACAAAAAATTAAGTGTTGCTAATGTAGTTCATTTGTTTTTTTGGTCATAAGGCACAGCCTAGTTTCTCCTAAAAACATGTACACACTTGAATATTTTCTAATTATTCTGTGATGTTTCCCAGCGCCCGCCAGAAGTTTGTGAGGCGAGCCTGGGAGAAGGCCCAAGTCAACGAGAAATGGTCACAGAGCAGCTGGGCTAAGAAGATCGAGGCCAGACAGAAGGTAAATGCTGTGGTCAAACTGCTGATTTTATTACATTACTCTTCATTTTACCAAATCAAAGTTTAATAGTGCACTTTAGCTTTTTCCCCAGAAAACTGCCTAGGCTTGGTGGCTAGGGTGGCCTCAGAACATTTTTTAGATTAAGATATTATTGACAAAAATTAAATGCCAATTATAGAGTTCCGTTAGAAAAGCATGCTATTCATATACTGTTTCAAATGTCAAACTATAAAAATATATTTACCCTAGTTTAATGTTAATGGGGTTATCATGTGGTGGATCTTAAAATCAGCAAGGAAAGGCTGTTAACATTTACAATTGAAATAAAATTTATTGCAAACAAGATAGTGGTGCACTTGGAGTAGCAGCTATACGTGTAAAAGTACTGCTAAATGGCCCCGGCGATTCAGACCAATTTTAGGGCTGACCGTGTTATAGTAACAAATTCAGCCAAGACTAAAACAGCTACTGCCTCTTATAATAAGAATTATGATTAAAAACTACTGCTGTTAATTCTGTTATTATAGACTGTAGTACAAATACTGTTGCTAATATTACCACCACTTCTATTAGTACTGGCCTGTCAAAACTACTTGTAATATACACAAAAAGTACTATTATTATCGTTCTATTATGCCCAGGTTTAGGTTTCTCTCAATAAATTAATTGATTACACTCATTTCAATCAGCGTTTTTCTGTAGTCTCAATAGAGGATTGTTGTGAAGTCATTTACGGGAAATAGTGATTTTTATCCTTTATATTTCCTTGTGTTTTTATCCTTTATCTTTTTGCTCACATCAGATTCATGATGTCACTTGGACATGTTACCTTCAGTTCTAACAAAGTCTGTCAGCAAGCACATCACCATGATTGCAATGATTAGATGGTCAGGTTACAGGTAGTCTCTTTTTTTTTTTTTTTTTTCGTCACTTCACGGTACTCTGTGCATCCATTGCACAATTTTGTTACTGTGCACAAGATGTAAACCCTGTTGGAATGTGAGAGGGTGTTCACAGCTTACGGTCTGCGCTTAGGGATGGGTGGCCCTGCCCGTGTTCTTTAGGTGATAATTATGTTGCTGTGGTATTTATATTTATCACAGAAGGCTCGGTAAAGACGCAAAACAAGCGTCTGCACAAAGCTCAATTTTAATGCAATGTCCTACAACCTGCATTGTGCAATGGCCGTTTACATAGAAACTGTTTAGAGCGACACCAATGTTTTATCTGGAGTTTTTCCTAAAAACCTATGGTATGGTGCTCAGAATAGAGAAAAATATTCAGGTGCCTGATAAATTTTCTATGAACTTGAAGGTTGTCTTTAAATTAGGTTAGTTCTGCGTTTGTCAATCAATAATTTTCCCCCATGGAATGTTTTGCGCAGGCTTAATAAGAAATTGTAGCCCCAATGGTCGGCCTAAACGTTTTAATTCTATTAAATGCTGCACATTGAAAAGCAGCTGAACTGTTATAGACTGTCAGTATTAGAAATAAAATGTAATCATCTGTTTACAGGCAATGTTGTGTGCTTTTTTTTTTGTCATGTATATATATTTCAAAACCGTAATTAGTGTGAGGATTTGTGCTATACCTGGTCTACATGTGTTGTTCACACTTCAGTAGTTTTTCAAAGAAATTGTGTAAAATATCAGGGGTTTCTAAACGCAAAGAAAAACCTAAAGTATAATTCTTCGATATAGGAATCGTTGTGCATATTCAATTTTATATCATATTTAGGAGGACATCTGTATTTTGAATCCAAAAGTTTTTTTGTCAATTATGCTGTTTTGTAATTAAAATGCAATTAATTTCAATTAGTCGATTACAGATCTTGTAATTAACCCTGTTAAAAATTTTTTTTTTTTACAGAGTCCCACCACTGGTTTTTATGTCTTTAGAGCAAAATCATACCGGATGGAAAAATTCTAACATCAGTTTAATTTGCTTTAAATCATATCGCAGCAATTCACTTCACATTATCTCATGGCACTTTAAATTGTTCAATTAAGGAATTTTAGACAAATTGGCTCCAAAGTGTCCTCTCTAAGAAAACCCAGCATATTGCAGTGCATAGAGCCACAATGAATAAAAAGGAGAAATTATCATTTTGCCTTTACTTTTTTTGATATTCGTTGAATCTACAGGTACATGATGTATCAAAGCTGATCTGTCAATCCAGCCAGTAACTTAAACCCCTTCAATCCCTCTAATCGTTTTGCTTTTTCACTCACTTGCATTGCTAAAGAGGTTAATCTGCACAAGTTGTTTTTTGTGAGAATTGCTGCTTTTTTTTTTTTTTTTTTGCATGTTGCACTTTTGGGTTCCTGGAAGTCCAGATTTTTTTCCCTTGTATTTTATCTATTGGTTTCTTCTATTATTGCCAGTGACAATAAGAGTGCACTTTGGAGCTGCTGGGGCTCCTTTTACCTTTACCTGCTTTTTGTTCCTCTTGTTGGGTTCCAACTGCAGGCTTTTTGCTTTTTGTTTTTTTACCCTGAAAAGAAAAAAAAAGTTCACCAGGTTAATTAGCCTAGGCTTAAAAGGGAAAACCTTTTGAATTTTAGTCTAGGAAAGGATCAAGTGTTGATGTGAAGAATGTGAAATCTCTGGCTTAATTTACTTATTCCTGTTTTCAGAGGGCCAAGATGTCTGACTTTGACCGCTACAAGGTGATGAAGGCCAAAAGGATGGTGAGTACATCAAAAACATGACATCATTGGAATGTTTTTGTGAATAAGACATTAAACATAAAGCTTCAACAGGGGGAATTCTGAAAGCTTAAGCGGAAGATTACTTAAATAAAAGAAGAACGGGTATTTTAGGGAGAATATAATAGTTTGTCTGGTCCATACTCCATTCTGGAAGGTGGCGGTAATGCACCTATAAGTTGTTTGCCGACCGCCATTAAAAAAAAGAAGAAGAAGAAGGCTCCAGAGTGTTGACGTCACTGCCCCTTGAGAGACGCTCCGCTGCACCTCTCCCAGATTGTAGCTGACCGCAAACAGTGCCTCAGACAGGAGGCCGGCTAGTTTTGTTTTTATGACCGAAATTGCGGAAAACAACTCGTGAAGTTTGACCCGCTAGAAGAGCGAGGTGCGCGAGAACGCTGGGAGCCTTTTTCCAGCTGAATCTCCGCTCTTTTTGCCCCATTGTCCCTCCGTCGTCGGACTAAACTCGCCCCCACTTCCTCATCGCCTCGGCCGTATCTAGACCCACAGCGTGTAGCCCAGACCACGCTTCAATACTGAGCATAATTTAAAAATGTCTGTGTGAAGCTTGCTGCAACAAACTGCTGTAAGAGTATAACCAGGAAGCGCGGTAGGAGGGCAAAATAGGTTTAGCGGCACCGCAGCACGGGAGGGAGAATTACGCCCAGGAGCAAATGGATAAAAATAGACCGGAGGGGGGAAAAAAAACATTAATCGATTATCTTGCGGACGTGTCGATGCATCGGATCGTCGGCTTTTGGATCGATGCATCGATACAAAACGATTGTTATTTACACCCCTATTAGAGAGACTATATATGAAGTCAGCTTGCTGTGAGGCAGTCAGTGTTTTGTATTGCCTGCAATGGCCGGTTTTGTTTTCTTTATTTGAAAGTATTTTGTTTGTTTTGTTTTTTTTTTGTCTTCACCGTTGCACCAGTAAACCGCTACACGCTTTTGAACTGGAATTTTGTTGTCCGCTGGTTCTTACCACCTTTTTGCAAGTCATCTGCTTACTCCTCCTCTGACGTGAGACGGGAGCTGGTGAGCCGTTTTCTCACAAATACCAAATTCAGTCTAATTGGATGGGAATCTACATTGCATTTGATGCACCACTACAAGATGAATCAACAGATTCGGCGGTATTAATTCGCGGCAAATCATTGCAGCTTGGTGGCGGTGGCGTTAGCATAGTAGTATGGACGACGAGATGATTGAAAATGAACACAACGGAGATCTAGTCCTATTGGCAGACACCCGTTTAAAATGTAGGCAACGAAAAAAGTGGTTTCTACTTTTACTTTTATACTTTAAGTAAATTTACAAGCCTGTACTTTGTTACTTTTACTTGAGTAAAGAAGTTTAATCAGTACTTCCACTTTTACCAGAGTATTTTTTAACACAAGTATCTGTACTTTTACTCAAGTACGGAAAGTGAGTACTTTTGCCATCTCTGTTAATCAGCCACCAACAGAACAGTACCTCAGTTTTTAAGTTGAGTTCTCCATAGTTCTGCTAATGACCTGATTTTTTTTGACTAGAATAGTGATTCAGACATAAATGTAAAAGCTGAAAGACCTCAGAGGCAGGAGTTGAACACCTCTGGCTTTAGCATTTGTTTGAGTGCAGTGAATGTTAAGAACATTGAATTAATCTTTACATGTTTTATTTGTGCAGAGAAACAAGATCATCAAGCATGAGGTGAAGAAGCTCCAGAAGGAGGCGGCAAAGAAGTGAAGATTTCACAGAATAAATTTGCTCTTTGATTGTTCACCTGTGTCATGTCATTTTATTTTACACATAATTCTCCACACATACCTATAACCAGCCTGTTTTCCATAATGCAGCTTAGTTTGATCAGACTCATTTGTGTACTGATGGCTCAACAATCCAACTTTATTTGCTGCATTCAGTTGTTCAATGGGTTTAATTTAACAACAAATCAGCTGGCTGCGTTAGTGAAGAGAAACAACCTTGCCTGGCTATTCTGTGAATACTCAAGTTTATCAAATTGAGGCAAGTTAAATGGATTTTATCCCTTACCTTTTATTCAAGGCTGCTTTATCAACAACCTAGTTTGGACTGGCTTGAATAAACAAGTAACATGTATTGATGGTTGCTGAGGAGATGCCGTCATTCAGTTCAGATATGCTTTAAGGTCTTAATCTGGACAGTGGTCCACAGTAAGAACCCGACCCCTGATTTAGGCTATGTTCACACAAAAGCCTGAAGTAACCCAAATCTTTTTTTTTTTTATTATATCTTCCCATATGAAACCTGCGTCTGATCTTTCATGACAGTATGAACAACAAAGATCCAATTTATTTTTTTCCCAATATGTTTCAGGCCCCTTGCTTTTTGGTCTAAATCTACTACATATCTGATCTTTTGAAATGCGTCATGTCTGAATGGCCAGGTCACATTCATGTGACCTGGCCATTGATAAGTCATTAGTCTGCATCTTGCTATGCAGGCAGCATGTGACATTGTGTCCTCTACTGCACAAATGGGTCATTTAGTTGTGTGAATGCAGTTCACACAGGAGATCGATTACTATTCGTTTATATTTGGAAATGTGAACAACCACATAAAAGAATTTTACAAAATATCGAAGTTTAGCATTAACACCTGCAGTGCTGGCGTAGTCTTAGAGGGATGGTTTTAAGCAAATGTTAGTAAAATGGCCAGAAATGTGTTCAAATAAAGACATGACCCTTAAAAAGTAACCATCCTGCAGTATTCCATAAAAAGGCTAAAACGGTACATAAGAAAGTATACTAATATTTAATCAAAGAATGTCTGCAATATTCAAATTCTGTTATTTATAGATGATAAAAAAATATGAGTAAAATAAATCTAGAGGGAGGCCCCCCGCCTCCCTCTAGATCTGTCCCTGTGGGTTTGGTGGCAGTGCTCCTGATAGAAACATTGGGTTGTAATAATGTCTTAATATAGATTTTTTTATATCTCAAACGATAATTGACCTCAATACAGCAGCCAGACAGCATTTTGACTTTATAAAAAATATGTAGAACACAAAAGGGCTGACATTTTTTATTTTAGCTGGTTTCTTTAGTCGATATAATTCATTAACTTGTTGCTTGGCCGTAAATCTCCCTGAGGTGTTTTAAAAAGTCTTTCAGTGACGACAGGTGGAAGGAGCTGCAGAGGTCAAGATTTAGAGATTTCTCCAGCTTTTAGTTTGAAGCTGTATACTCCTGTATGCATGAGGTCCCTCATCACTGGAGATCAAAACATAATTTTTGTATATTTTATGGCAAAAATGAGTCATTAACCCTGTGAACTTTAAGAATTATCACCTGTGTACACCCTGCCAAAATATGTGCATGCACTGTATAGTATATTCCCCATGCACCTTCTCCTTCACTTTTTGACTATTTGAGCTGATGTAACAAGTCAAATTCTCCACTCTTAAGATCAGCAAAGTCAATCAATCAATTATTTTCCCATGCACTTTTCTATGTACATGTCCTTTGGTGTCCATCAAATCCTAGAAATATGGTAAAAGTAAAATTCCAGGCATGAGGGACACAGCAATTTATTTGGCCCTCAAGAAAATGCAGATTATGTTATAAAGCAGATAGATGTATTCTTTTAAAGTGTCTTAAACAGTAAATTGTTTGGGAGAAAAGTTATATCAAACCAATGATTTCACATTTACTCTTTGTAAGGGAAATTGATGATGCTAAAGTTGATCTATGGGGGCATATTATTGATGGATCTAAATGTTATTTTACACTGTTGACGTCAGCACTCTGTGGATAGTGATGAGTCCAGCAACACAGATGTATGCTTGGAGTTCATAGACCGAAACAATCGGTGTGGTGTCGGTGTGTGTTTCCATCCAAGAAGGTCACATTAAAGAGTATCTGTTTCAAATTGACTGATGCACTAAACTGTGGTTATAATTGCATCTGTCAACGGAATGCATCTGCCAAAAAGTAAATCATTTGTAAAATTCATCAAGACATATGAAACAGCTTCAAGGCAAAAAAAAAAAAAAAAGGTTTCAGCCATGTGGGACCATTTTTATATATCTGTTTATCTCAGTTATCACTCAAGATATCTAAATTTAAAATAAATTTACTTTTAGTTTATCTATTGTTTTTTTTTTTAAACAAAAAACTTTTAAACCCTAGTCCACAAGCACTCTCATTCACATGTTCAGATAAATTTTCCAATTGTGATTAATGTTCACATTATTTATTGACTGCATTTAAAATATCAAATATGTTTTCAATTTAAACAAAGATGAAATAGAAATAATACAATATAACCTACAATGACTTTATATTATTGTAAGGTGGTTATAATCAGTTTTAGTTCAGTCTGTCAAATAGGACGCCTGTAATGCTTTTAAATGACCAGCAGGTGTCAGTATTGAGTGACAGTATCAATGACACCCAGGTGGACTAAGTCCTCAACAGTAGTACTTAGTACTCACGTTTGAAAATACTTATTAGAAAGCATATGTATTTTAAAGTAATTAAGTATTCTAAAGTACAATTACATTTTGCTAATATCAATACAGTTCTGTATAATTTCCAGAATAATGTTAAAGAATGTTGTAACTTTCAGAAATCACCTGATATATTGATGCACAGAATCACCTGCTACAGATTCTACACCATCTGGAAAGAACTCCAACATAAACATGCCAAGAAAAACAGTGACATCTATTTTGATTATTATTTATTATTCAAAAACAAGACAAAAAGAAAACAGGAGTGTTTTGATTCTCATCACACTTTCCATATGGAATAGAGGTTTAAGGTTTAATCTATCTATTTCTATCCACAAAGAAAGTACACCTCTGCTTTGAGACTTAAACAGTAACAAGTAACAGAGCACTTTACTCTCAATCTGCAGATCTACTAGTGCTTCCTAGAATTTCTAAAAGTAGAATGGGAGGCAGATCTTTTAGTTACCAGGCTCCTCTCCTGTGGAACTAACTACCAGTTTTAGTCCGTAAGGCAGACACCCTGTCTACTATTAAGGCTAGGCTTAAAACTTTCCTTTTTGAAAAAAGCTTATAGTTAGAGTGGCTCAGGTTATCCTGAGCTATCTCTATAGTTATGCTGCTATAGGCTTAGACTGCTGGAGGACATAGGGACCCCTTTTTCATCATTCTATCTCTATTCTCCCGCTCTGCATAATCTGTTAGCTCAATCTCTAATGCAATGCTCTCTCTGCTTTTCTCATGGTAGTTTCATCTGGTCTGTTCCTGTTCCTGGAGAGAAATATCAGGTGGGCTGATGCCATCAACACCTTTGTTTATAGATGTTGGAGATTGGTCTGTTTTTTTTTTTTTTTTTTTTTTTTTGGTGTAGTCCTGTTTCTCTAATTGTGACTAACTATATGTGCTCTCCTTCATCCTCTAACATGGGAGCTGCTGGCTCAGTGCTTGTCTGCCTGGCTGTGTGTTACCTGGACTGTGCCACCTGTGGAGCTGGTTAACAGTTACCTTTTGTATATCTGCTTCTTTCTGTATGTCTGTTTCTGTCTCTTTGAACCCCAGTCGGCCTTTCCAATACTTTTTTTTTTTTTTTTATGTGTCACAGCATAAATAGTCTCTTTCCAATGCATTTTTGTTAAAAATAAATGTTCTTTAGTCGGTGGAGTTTCTCATAGTGGGTACTTCTAAATAATATTACTCAAGTAAAAGTAAAGTGCAGTAAAACTACTCACAAAAGTACATTTTGTTCAAAAACTTATCCAAGTAAATGTAATTAAGTACATATCTATGGAGGACCAACTCTGCCATATTTAAAAATAAATACAGAAATAAATAAATGCTCAATAAATATATAAGCATACAATTAATTGCCAACAAAAATACAATAAACAAATAAATGTAAGTAGAAATTGAATTATACAGTGAAACATAAATGAATATAACTCTTTAAATTAGCTTCTTTATTTATTTGCCTTTGTAATATTTACCTTATTTATTTTTCTGTCCTTTATAATCTTCAACTTTATTTTTTAATTACTTACATTTTTAAGTATTTATTTATGTGCATGTTATAATATTTTTGTCTGTTTTATTCTTCCTTTGTATTTTTTTATCTTAGTTATTTCTTCGCCGCTATTTATTTCTGTCTGCCCTTTTTACATTTCTGTATGCATGTGTATTGTATTTTTGGTGGCAATTAATTGTATGCTTATTTATTTATTGAGCCTTTATTTATTTCTGTATTTCTTTTTAAATATGGCAGAGTTGGTCCTCCATACATACCCACCCAACTCTGGTTTAGATTTTGTGATTCTGTCTGAGAATCAGACAGAATAATATTCCACGCTGCGCCACTTTGTCAGTTGTCCACTAGATGGCAGTATTGGTTAATAAATATTCAGCAACAATAAGCAAACAAAGCATTCTTGAAATTAAATCATTAAGGGAGCAACATGCTGTGTCTGGAGACCGTACAGTTGCTTCTCTATGTTTTCTCATCACCATTAGAAGCTGCTGAGGGCAGGAGAACACCTCGGTGTCTTTTTATAGCCCCTGCAGCGGCCGCATCCTGGCTGAAACAGGCCGATATTACAAGCAGCCAAACAGGTTGCTGCTCAGATCTCAGGCGGAGCTGGTAAATATTGCATAACTGCACACTTGAACACTGCCCAGCTGGTTGAGTGAAGAGAACAGGAACAAAGAGCGATGCCAACACGCGCCCTCTGTCACCAGTAGCGCGCGCCAGAGCAACCGAGGACGGGCTGATTACAGAGGCTGGATGTTAGCGAAGCAGC